TAAAGGAATCCAATAGGATAAGAAAGATACCACAGATACCCTAAAGGAGAGGGTGTGACTTATTCATGTATTGATATAGCAGGTTGCAATGACAATTACTTCCATTCTATTTGCTTTTAGTTAGCACTTCCAGGTGCTTCTTGCAGGGCTTTTATTTATTCATCAATCAGTCATCCTCTCTCTCAGATGTTGGACATCATGACATCAATGCAACATACAATAGCACTTTGGTTTTAATGGAAAAGGTAACACTATTCATGTATTTAATATTGCTAAAGAGATTTTGTTAATTGCTGATTGTTGGAACTAGGGCTATTTCTAACTCCTTGGACCAGACTTTCGTTTTAGGATATGTCTTTTCTTCTCTCTTTTCCAGAGAAGCAGGTTTCCTCACATTGAAGCATTAAAGGGAATCTGCCATAGTAAAATTTTTGTCATTTGTCAAGAGCTGCTTTATTATATGTTGAGTATATCAACTCATTGATCTATCACAAGTTGATCAATTTAGATGGGTCCTAACAACTTAGATGGATCCTAATCTGACTCCTCATTGAATACTCCTGACAGAATGAAGAATTTTTCCTCTAAAATGTAGGGACCTTCTTGACTTCTATGCACCTACTCTGAAGAACAGTGGCAACAGCCTTGCGATACAGAAATTGTACAAGAGGATTATACCACTACTTGCAGTCCACTAGGTTTTATACTATTATTGTAAAATACTTTGACATTACTCTGGAAACCACTGGGAATTTTACTTGAGAAAAATATTAGAATAAGGAAATGACCTATACACCAACACTAGGATTGGTAGGCAGTTAATTTCCTCATTCTAATTTTATTCTATCATTACATTAGTGTTATTCTTACTGTAATTTTAAAATCAACCAAGGAAATATATTTACTTCATTACTACCTAATTGTTGGTAGTTTCCTTGTTTGAAGAATCAACTTATGTACCACTGTGTAAAAACTGTAGGTAGAAGATGTGATCGCTCTTTGCGTTCTGGTGCCTGTGGTCACATGTATGTCAATTCACAGGAAACAAGGGCTAGGCAAATGACGCTTCTCTTTGTGAAGCAAATGCAGGAAACAGCAGAGCAAAGTAACAGGGGAGGAAATGGGTTTACCGTAGCAGAAATGTGATTAAGATCAGCTAAGCAGGAAAAATGAATTTGGTTAGCCATGCAAGACTCTAATAAAACTCTTGGTTCAGAGATACTTTTTATTACACCAACTAAGAAATGACAAAAAATGTATCTTTCTTTGCAAGCTTTCTGGCACACACCCCCTTCTTGAGGATGAGTAAAAATTAAAGATGTTAAAAGTCCCCATAGGTAGAAAATACACTACATTTTGCACATAGGAAGCTGAAGGTGGATGCCTGTTCCTCTGGGTCATTGTGTTAGCCATTACATTTTACTTGCCTTGACTTTTTGAAGAGGACGTTCTACTTATGACAGTCCAAATGGGTTTCTTACTGACTTTGATGCTTTGTTGTGTTCTTGTTCTTTTTATGGTGTATAACACTCCAAAAATCTAATACTAAAGGGAACCAGGTGTCTTTTTAATAATTAACATATTACAGCAGCTTCCTTCACAATGTTTCACTTAATCTCAGTTCTCTTTCTGAGTGGGTTATGTCCATGATTCTCAACCAGGATGCCTTAGGTTTCTTTGAGATCCTTACACATGAGAATAGAATTTGATAGATTTTTTGATTACATATTAGCAACAAAATGCAAATTCCCCTTTATAAATATTTACTATAAAAATATTGCCGAGTGTGAATCGAGCACTTTTACAACATATCCTTTTATATTGGTGTCTAATTCTTGTTTATGTCCTTAATCATGCACTCAAGTAATTACTTGATAAAATCATGGCTTTCCACATTTTATGCCAAAGGTAATTGAGAAATGTGAGAGAACACTGAGAATGGAAGTTTAGGAAAGTTTTGTTTTTTAAAACAGATGCTGGTTTACAGAGCCAGTACAGAATATAAAATCTGCCTGATGAGAGATCCATTTGCTTCCAGGAGTGGAAAAATAAGCAGATTTCTCTAATTGCAAAACTCAACTCTTAGCTCTTCCAAAAGCTTAAAAACATTGAGTAACATTTGTGAACTACAAGAAGAGATTTCTGTACATGCACCTAAACCACAAGTCACGTGGCCCCCTTTCCATTCTGATACTTTTTGACTGCTGGTAGAGGAGGGTACAGTTTTAGTTTCTTCAGTCATACCATGTTATTTGACAGTGCTACTCAAATGATCAGCACCCATCATGTCCTTAAGAAGGCTCATTCAGCAAAACCATAATGCCAATTTTGCAGGCTTCTGTGTTAGTCCTTATACTCCTTACTTGGAAACTATGTGCAGTCCGCAGATGGATAATAAACAATTTCAGAACCTGGCAAATGCAGTGGGGACCTTACCCAGAGGACGCAGGCAGGTAAGTTTTTTGCTTTTACCATTGCAGAAAGTTTCCTTTTGAGAGGACAGCTAATTGTTTTTCTGTATTTGCAGTTGTAAATGTAATCTGCAAGGTTATTAGCAAGTAATTTGAAATGTTTGTTGTGGAATGTAGCTTGCCAGATTCAACTTTAGGTTGATTTTAACAGTCAGTGGAATTACAGGTAGGATGAATTTGGCCTGCTTTGTTTTGAATGGTAATTATTTAAAAAATCTAAATCTAGCCAATTTCCTGCAGTAAGTGTACACAGGATGAATTCAAACCCTAAAGCGCCTTGAAACATATAAAGAGCTTTTGAAACTAGAGTAGTGCCTGTTTTTTTTTTTTGTTCTCATTTTACAGCTATGCTGAGAATCAAAAGAAGCTGTTGACTTCAGGGTTTATGGGATTTCTCATGTCCTTTAAGTTTAATTTATTTTACTTCAATGTATGCCGTGTTCAGGCTTTTTGTTTCCTCATAGGCTTGCTTTCAGATATGACTGATACCAGCAATATGTAGTTATGCCCACCTGGGTCCATCTCTGCTATAAAAATGATGAAAGTGTTTCTGGGTTGGATGTTTCTCAAGACAAAATTATTTGTTTTCCTTGATTTCCCCCTATTATGTTAACAACACGACAGTTTTCTGTCATTTGCAATTGGCTGCTAACAAAATCCTGTTTCCATTTTTACTGTTCCTGTGAATTGGCAAATGAGCACTTACAGGATATTATCTAGTGATCTGGTGTAAATCAATCAAAATTCAAAGTATTTGAGCTGTATTATAAATTCAAATTATCATCAAAGAATTGTTATGTATTGATTGGGCACTTAAGCCCTCACTTTGTACAGTAATAGATGTACTCTTAATTCATCTTTTTTGTACAACATGAGAAAAGATAAAGCAAGGCCAGAACTTGACAGATTAATACGTTTCCATGGAATGTTCTTACTGATTTTTGTTCAGCTAGCATTGTTTGTGAACAAGAAACAATTTCTTTTGTCTCTGTATGGCAATCAGTCCTGATTCAGAGATAACATTTATGACAGTGGCTATGAGGTGGCTATGTTTGTTAAAAATAAATTGCAACATGCAAGGGAACTACCCTTGACAATGAGCTTGCACATCTGATGGGTACTTTGCAGAAGTCGTTCAGCTTAGAGTTACATACATATGGACTTCTCTTAACTGACCTGCTGCTTACGTGCATCTAACACTTCCCCCTCCCCACCCCAGATAAATACATGTTAATGAGCTGGGATTTTTGCAGAGATGGTTCTTTTACAGGGGCACATTTTGAAGAAGTCTGTGTCTCATGGCTAATTATAAGGACTTGAAGTCCACAAGCCTGTTAGTGATATAGGCCAATGGTTCCTTATTTGATATTTACATTTTCAGGAAGAAGCAGCTTCAATCTGATATTAGCTTTTTTATAATCTTTCTTGATTGCTTAAGTACTTTTATGTTTGTATGCAACATCAAGGTGCAGTCAATTGGTTTCATGAATGTTTGGCTATGCTGTCAGACATTACCTTGCATGAAGACACCGTCGTTATTCCTGTTAAGGTCAGGTAGTGCCGCACAGGCACTCCTGCACAGGGTTAACTCAATCTAATTACACTCAATGCTTTGTAGATCTTCTTACAGAAATGCTGGAATTAGCTTTAGGAAACGAGTTTTTTCTACACTTAAGTAACAGCCCCACAAATACCAGCGTGCGGACACAATGCTTCTCATGTTTTGAGTCTTGGATTAACCCTAATCCTCCCATTTAAACCGATGAAGTGTGACTTGAGGGGAGCAGAGTTCACTTAAAGATGTGAAGGATTTTTGGATCCCACCTTGGTGATCTCTTCTTTTGTTGTAGCATATAATTCTCATTAGTATTAGTGGAGATGGGGAGGGCTCTGTGGTAAGGTGATGCTTCAGATATGTTTGGGCTATCTATGGATAAAGACCAGCACAAAGGGAGAATAAAAGCAGATGTCTGAAAGTTCAAAGGGTTTCAGTTCAGCTGCTGGTTCAATTATGTACTTCCTGTGTAACCTTGGGTAACCTAATTTGTTTGTGCCTCAGCTTTCCCACTTGTAAAACAGAGCTAATTTTGTTTGCGTGTCCCACAGATATTGTTAATAAACAGTTTTGAGATTTTCTGAGATATGGTATGCTAAAAAAGTAAAGTATTACTGTTCTTAAAGTCCACTGTTAGCACAATGGAATAATGTTAGTATGCATGCATGTATTTGCTGTTCATCCTACTCCTTTGCATGGCATTTTAAAAGGCTCCCAAATATATGGAAAAATAGAATGATTTGTAA